TCTCTCTCTCTCTCTCTCTCCCCCCACACACACACACTCTATAGGACAGTTACACTTTACAACTTTTACGAATGCCGCACAGCTCACATTCGACTAGCTCGCTATGACTTCATTCGACATCAATTACACTTTGTTAGGACTTCGATAAAAACTACCCCCTCCCCCCAACACGCAAGTCAAACATTTTACAGTGCATAACCCGGCATGGTCTGCACTCCCCATAATGTTAGAGGCGTCGTGGAAAAACAATTCCGTCCTTCTGTTTACGCCGTGTACCTCACGCGCCGCGAGTGAGCCTCTTTGTTATCAGTTTGCCCTGAGTACACCGCTGTGCCTACGCACGCTCACTCGTGAGTGCAGTACAGTTTAAAGCATGCGCGTGCATTCTGAGGTAGGCACGTGCCGGCTCTCGCGTATGGCGCCAACAGGTGCGCATCTTTCAGAAAGAAAATGCCAAGGTTGAACATATTTTTCTCCGTTCAAAATCAAACAAATTTTACTCGTCATTGCGGAAGCATAATATTTTCATGAAGGACGAGATGCTCGGCTGCTTGAGGTACATGCTGAGCTAAGACAAAATGTGTTTTGCACGGACCGTGCCTTTAAAAAAAATCATATTGTCTTGTAGTACGTGTTTTGCTGACATAATTTAGGTCTTTTGGAAAGCAAACTGCATGGACCTAGCGTGAGAGGGACACCCTGGATAGGGTGGCAAATAACATCCGAGACATATGATGGCGATACCCTCTCCTTAGGAATAGAACTAATATCCTCTGCGTGCATCGATAAAGAGTTTACCCATTACACTACAGTCGCCCGAAGATCGAGCATCTAATCTTCTCGGGCAGCGAAGACAAATCTCTGAGGGTCTGTGTGCACATTGTGCCTTAAATCTTAAAGATCTCTTGGGGGTTGAAAATCGTTGGAAAGTGCGTCTTAAGGCCGCCCAAAGTGATACATTAAAAATTAATAGAATTCCCTGCCACAGAAAATATCTCTATCACACCTGTGCAATGATTAAACATCCCTTTACGTCTTCCTTGATTCCAAACGTATTGACAATGTCTCTCCTTTGGAGAACATCAAGGAAGTCAAGACCTGAAGGAAGGGAAGTAATAATTGGTCGATGAACTTCCTAAGTCAACGGCCCTGGCAAAGCTGTATCATGCATACTGTTTTCTGATCGCCTGTCAAGACACAAAAGGCCACAATCATAACGATAAGCTTTTTAGTTTCGATATTAATTACGTAACCATAAAAAAGTTCGATTTACTCCTCTATTCTAACATAGTTACAACTCGTCATGTCACTGATTCACACCTCCCTTTTTCATGTTTTTGAAAAAAATGTCGCTGGCGAAAACATCATTATTTCATCTAAAACGTCATAAATTTGAGAACGATTGGGTACAGGATTTACTTACTTTCGAACGTTCTTTTGAGCAATATGGAAAAGCGAGTAGGGAAAGTTGGGATTCGGTTTAATGATTCCAGTAAAGAAGTCTGTCGGAAATAAAAGCGTCTTGGCAGATAAAAAATGGACCCATAGTTCATGCAAGTGCAAGGAAATAATGTAAATAGCTGCAGAAACACTTCGGGCGAAATTTTTCGACGCGGGTGGCTTGACGTTTTAATGAAATGTCAAAGGAAACATACTACTAGAACTGGTTGCTGCAACTTAGAGAAAAGTGAATGAGATAAGCACACACTCTACAAAGAATGCATCAATGAACATTTCAGCAAAGCAGCGCTTTCCCAATAGGAGGTGTCAGCAAAAGGAGTCTTGCTCCTCTTGTTTTACGAGCGAAAAGCCGTGGCCATTCATCCTCTCTCGTATGTCTCTCCACACGTTGGCTCCATCAACAAGACAGGAAGGCAGTCCCACTACACCCCTGACCTTTTTGCCGTGCACTGATCGGAATGCCAGAAACGGCGAGACAAGAGCACGGGACGTACATCTCTTCTTATTAGAGATTCACAGCCGGGCTTCTGTGATATAATGGTTAGCCCCTTTGCTGTTTCACAAAGAAAAGGTGGGTTCGAGTCCCATGTGGCTATTGTCGAGTATCTCCGACTGACTGGTGGGAAGTTGTATCCTACCCATCCTTGACATTTAGGGTCGAAGCAGCCCGCCCCCAGAGCGATCTAACAACATGTCGAGGGGAGCCTCCGATATTCACTAGTACAAACACAGTTATACAGAGTATAGTACCCACCAATCGAACATTGGATGTGGGTGGTTGGCAGGTGCTCTGGTGTGGTTTACTCCTTCTTTTCTATCAAACATTTATATATATATATATCGTCCTTATTTCCCCTCCTTCTTTTTGTGTTTGTTGCTCTCTTGTAATCCCTCTAATCTTCGTCGCTTGTATGACCTTATTGTGTTGCAAGTGCTGTAAAACACCTAAGAAAACACAGCAAGAACACAGGACGATGATAGTTGAGCCATGACGTCATCAGCCACTGCGTGTACTCACCAGACATGGGCTGACTGGCCAACACTTGTGGGTACTCGGGCGGCAGCTGGCTGAAGCATAAGTCTGTGGATGACCACACAACACAGTATTAAAGGCGGAGACAACACAAATGAAAAGTAGTAGCAAAGCTGATTTATGGTAAAACGGAGTCTAGAACAAAAACGAGCACCCAACTCCTAGAAATATCTAACAGAAAGCTGAGAGAGAGAGAGA